TCAGGAGAGGCAGAAGTTTGCTCAGATAGAGGAGGAAGAAAGCAAGCCGACTTAGGGAATATAGACCAAGAGCATCCATTGATCAGCAATCCTGAAATTGCTGTGTGCTCTGTTGCTACTTTCCACATTTTCTAATGAAAAAAAATCTTTACACATGATAAAATATAAGGTATAATACTATGGTCGCCATTAAAAGTAGTATTAATATCTTACAAGAATAGAAAAATAAAGATTGGACCATAAATATAGCTTGGTAGTAATCTACCTGCCTTACATTCATGAAACCTAGGTTCAAGCTTCAGCATCCCCAAGAAATTAAATAAAGGGCTGGAGAGGGTAAGATAAGGTACAGGGGTAAGGCTCTTGCCTTTCATGAGGCCACCTCCATCCCTTAGATCACCAGCTATAATCCCTGAACTAGGAGTAAGCCCTGAACACTGTTGAATGTATCCTCCAAATTTTAAAAAAAAATCAGAATAAATTAAAAAAATTAAATAAACAAAAATAGAAATTCTAGATAATCCAGTGATATCACTCCTAAACATTCACCCAAATAATATAAAAACAGTGCTTAATCCTGGCTCTGAGCTCAGGCTTCATTCCTAGAGGTGCTCAAGGGACTATATGGGGTACCAGGGATCAAACCCAGAACAGCTACATGCAAAACAACTGTCTTACCTCCTGTACTATCTTTCAGGCTCCCCAAAATAAGTGAATCTTGACTATGGTTTTTTGTTTGGGAGCTACACCAGGCAGTACTCAGCAATTATTTCTTGCTTTGTGCTTAGGGATCACTCCTAGTAGTGCCTAAAAGACCATATGAGATGCCAGGGACCAAACCAGTGACAATACTATCTTTCCAGTCCCTTGAGGTAATAATGTTAAATGAAATAAGGAAGAAAATGAAAGCCAGTTACAGGATGATTTGACTCATACATAGAATATGAATAACTAAGTAAACAAACTAGCAAGGAACAAACTAGATTTGATAAAAACTATGGTGCTCACCAGTGGGAAAGGGAAGAGGGTGGGAAGGGTGAAGAGAGAGCTCTTTTCAGTGCTGAGACGGGGGAACATCACAATTTAATACATATAAAGGTATGAAGCTAAACCTCTGATGTTGCTTAATGTTGTGAATGTTGTAAGTCAATAAAAAATAAAATTTAAGATAAAATATACTGTTGACTCAAAAACAAATTAATAGAAACTCAAACTCCATAAATAACAATAACAAAATGTAAGCCATAATGGAATATATAAGCACTAATGGAATATGTTTATATTAAACACATCTAGGTCATCTTCTACCCTAGATTTCTAGCTCCCAACCACTGCCCTAGAAACTAACACTACATTCTCAAAATATTGTTATATTATGCAAGAATATAACATACACCAGATAGATACTTATTATATCCGTGTCTGCCCCTCACTTTGTAAAAGTTATATTTAATATATACCATCTTGATGTCAAGCTCATGTAGCCCAGAACCAAGCAGAGAAAAGTTGCAATGTATATCCGGAGGATGAATGGAGCCCATCCCACACCAATAATGGCCGTCAGGTGAATAGTATCCTGGCCACACTCTCCTCATTAGCACAATGCACTGAGGTGCTTCCTCATTGCAGGAAGCAGTACAATCATGGCCAGACGCTGAGAACAGGGAGGCATATTTCAAGAGAAGGGTTGATCGCTGCCAACATGGCTCCTTGTCGGTTCAGAAAGGCCCCATCTCCCCCGGAACACCAGAGATGCCAATTCAGTGACCACAGCTCAACGCTTTATGAACCATTTCCAAAGGAAGCTGGCACAGGCTAAGGGGAGGTGACAGTGTGATTCATTTTGCCTGGATTTTTGCTCCTACCCAAAGGAATCAGAAATCTGCTAGTAGCTCATAAAAATTCGAGAATTAGTATTATCATGAAAAATGCCTCCCTGAACAGTGAGCAAACTTTTATTCCCTTAACTGTTGCTGTTTCTCCCTTCTCCTTCTCCAACCAATATTATTCCTTTTAAGTGTCCCTCTCCAAATTCCTACTGCAAATGATACCTTTCCTTTTAGTACAAAATGCTCAGAAATGGATCAGAAAAATAGCTCAGTGGGCTGGGGTGGTTTGCATCCAGGAAGAGCCACTGTGATCCCTGGCATCACATAAGGTCCCCAAGTACTCTCAGGAATGAATTATTTTTTTTGTTTGGGTTTGGTTTGTTTGGAAGCCACATCTGATGATGCTCAGGGGTTACTCCTGGCTCTACACTCAGGAATCACTCCTGGCAGTGCTCAGAGGACCTCATGGAATCCCGGCAATCGAACCCAGGTCAGCCATGTGCAAGGCAAGTGCTTCCCCCACTGTATTATTTCTCGGGCCCCTGGAGTGACTTCTAAGTACAGAGCTGGGAGGTAGCACACGAGCACTGCCAGATGTGGCACCCCACTCATGCCCCAATTTTTTTCATTTAAAAATAAGCAAACCTCTCAGAGGAGGGAAAAAATAAGTAACAGGAAATAAATAATAATTACTATCTATTCTCATTAATTCTCATATCTCCTATATGAGATAATGTTTTTGTCCTTTTTTCCAATCATGAAACTGAGGTTTGGCAGTTAAGTCATGTGATGGCATAGTTAATAAGTAGGACCACTGGGTCTCAAACCTTGGCATGCTCAGCCCTGCCTTTCTCAGAAAACCAAGGAGAAGTTGGGGCCCAGCTAGCTTTTGCCCTCTCCTAACCAACTCCCACCTGAGGTAGCTTGTTTGAGGCTTAGTTTTGGACAGGACAATGCCAAGCCTTCCTGAAGTTTGGCTGCGTTGCCAACTGATACTGTGAGTGCTGGAAAAAGCACAAATGTGTCATGGCCCAGAGTGGGGGGGGGAAGCAGAGAATCAAAATCACAGAAATAAGTTTGTTTTGGGGGTCAGAGTGGTTGTCGGAATGCGTTTTGGTTGTGCCCCTTTCAGGTTGTACAAGCTTGAGCCCAAAACTGAATCTCTCTGACCCTTTGCCACTCGCCTGAGAATGAAGACAGCAATGCCACCTTCCTCCCCATACTGCTCAGTAAGAAAATGTGCATAAAGTCTTGGCATGTTACCTGGACACAATCCCCTTCCTCTCTTTGTCCTCCAAGAAAGCGCCAGTGGCAGGCCCTAGCCTGAGTACTGAAGGAGTCTCAGAATTTTCCAGAGAAGGCTGCAAATCTACAGAGAGCAAAGCCAGGCGCAATGTCCCAGCAAGAAGTGCCAACAGAATTTCAGGACAAAAGGCAGGAGCAGGGATATTCCCTAACTCACACTGTCCATCCTGACCTTATTTCCACCTTTCTTTATCTTCCTTCTTTCCTTCCTTCCTTCCTTCCTTCCTTCCTTCCTTCCTTCCTTCCTTCCTTCCTTCTTTCTTTCTTTCTTTCTTTCTTTCTTTCTTTCTTTCTTTCTTTCTTTCTTTCTTTCTTTCATAATCCAGTGTTCAAAAGGGAGCCCCAGGACCACTCCCAGCCAGTCAAACAGGTCGGATGGTTGAGGACCCAGTGAAACAGTATACTGCCAGGGCTATTTGGGGGGTGCCCAGAAGCCCCCCAAGTCACACCAGGCTGTGGAAGCACACAGCCCTCCAGGGCTACACCTGCTGATGCTCAGTGGACTGTGTGGTGCTAGGGGTCAAACGTAAGTCCTTGAGCATACAAGGCCTGCACTTTGACCCTGACTGTCTTCCTTCCCCTCCCTCTTCCACCTCAAACAAAGCCAAGGGCCCTTTATAAACAGTCAAATGCCTATTCTCATCTCCGGCCCTTACCTGTGCCAGCTGGAGCCATTGGACAATCCTTGAAGGCCTCCACACCAGCAGGCCGATGCAGGGGCTGGAGAAGGCCCATAGCATGTCTCCTGGGAGCCCCTGCACTCTGAGATTCCCTGTCTGCCTGGCTGCTTTTTCCTCTGACACTCAGCACAACTTCTGGAAGGGATCAGTCCTTCTACGTGGTCTGGGATGTCCCCAAGGACAGACAGTGACTTGTTTTTGTTTGCAGCCCTGGTGTGGAGCAGTCTGACACCTAACCATCATACATTTGTTTGTTTGTTTGTTGTTTTGTTTGGGGACAACACCTGGAAATGCTCAGGGGTTACCCCCAGCTCTGCACTCAGGAATCATTCATAGTGGTACTCAGAAACCACATGGGATGCTGGGGATGGAACCCCTGTCGGCCTCATGCAAAGCAAACACCCTACTGGCTACCCTATTGCTCTGGCCCCATGATAAATTTTCTTAAGTCAACTGTGAGCAGCACAGAGATGAAGGCAATCTCCTGCCCTCAGAGAGCTGACAGCATCAGGGTCTGACGCTGCGGCCCCATCCACATGATGAGCAAGCAGGCCCTGTGTGCCAACCCCACAGAGGGGCTGTAAAGAGGGAGCTTCGGCGGAGGGCCTCAAGGAAGGCAGGATTGCTGCTAACTGGGAAGCGATGAGGAAACCCCTGACCTGGGATGGGGAGGGCAGGCAGAACCATAAACTGCTGCTTCTTTGTTTTTGTTTTGTTGTTTGGGATCACACACTATCGGCCTTGCTCAGGGCTTACTCCTAACTCCGCGTCCAGGAGTAACTCCTGGTGGTGCTCAGATGACCATATGCAGGGCCAGGGATGGAACCAGGGTTAGCAGGCTGCAAAGTAAGCACCTTAACCGCTGAACAGCTGCTTTATTTTTTCTTTTTGGGTTATACCCAGAGATGCACAGGGGTTACTCCTGGTTCATGTACTCAGGAATTACTCCTGGTGGTGCTCGGGGAACCATATGAGATGCTGGGAATTGAACCCGGGCCCACCGCGTGCAAGACAAATGCCCTACCTGCTGTGCCATCACTCCAGCCCCTGAACAGCTGCTTAAAGCTTCCTGAGGATTAGACACGGAGGGGCCGCGTGTGGGTAGAGAATATATTTTGTCATTTCTCTCCCGACACCTAGCACTTAGCAAACTGATTTACTTTATACCCTCTTCTCTCACCCACAGGGGATCCCAGCATCTGCTCCATCTCCAACCCTGATTTTGTCATCTACTCCTCCGTGGTGTCCTTCTACGTGCCCTTTGGAGTGACTGTCCTTGTCTATGCCAGGATCTACGTGGTGTTGAGACAGAGGAGAAGAAAACGGATCCTCACTCGGCAAAACAGCCAGTGTCTCAGTGTCAGGCCTGGCTTCCCCCAGCAAGTGAGCACCCTGGAGGGGCACAGAAAAGACCACACACACCCCACCCCAACCCCACGTGGCCCTGTATACTAATTGTTACCTGTAGTGGCAAGTCAGGGACATTCCTCTGACCCTACTTTGTAATTGGCTGCTATTGGCTGTTAGAAGCAGGAAATCCAATCTCAAAAGTGCACTGAGAGTCTTTTCTAGAGGCCATGTGACCCGGTCAGATGGCCGATCATTTCAAAGCTTGATCTGTTTCCCTTCAAGGTCTTTAATTGCCCACAAAGGCTGGCAGTTAAGATATGACATGGCTGGAGGTTTTTAGTGTGGCATTTGTACCTTTTACTACAGTAAGGTCCTAAGACTGACTTTTTGGCCAGGCTACTCACATCAAGCACTATTGAGGTCGATCACAACTCTCCAGCTTCTATGTCAAGGCAATAACCAGTCAGTGGTTGCAGATGCTTATCGTGCAGGTTCTTAACCTTTCTACGCTTTGAAAGGAAGATCAGTGCCTTTCAACTTCTTGGACTAATTTCAACTTATCCCAGTCCCTGCCACATGCTTCAAGGTGTACTCAAAAGGGTCAAGGTGGTGGGTCATGTGGTAGTCCACATCCCTTGTGTATGCATGGCCCTGGGTTTGATCCCTCAGCACTGCCAGATGCGTCCCTCCCAAAGAAAATTATGCACTTGAAGCATGACTGAAATTGATCACATGCCCTCTGACAGGAAAAGGAATATTATATAACTTCTTCTTTCACGGAACTGAAAATCTAGGCAAGCAAATAAAGTACGGCTTGACCCAAAGTAAATAGATAACTCAAGATGTTTGTGAAAATGTGAAAGGAAGTTAATGAACCACTACATTTAAACACCATGAAGATTACAAGGAGAGGTCAATGTGTTCTGATAAAGACTTTATAGATGGAATAAGAACTGAGTTCAGGGCCCAAAACATACTAAAGGGATAAGATGATTACTTTATGTGAGTTCAAGGCATGGGTGCCATCAGTGGCTGAGAACCGCCTCCCCAGGCCGGCCAACAAATGACCAGCAAAGGAATGGGCAACAAGGGAATGGGGCCACAGTCTGGTTGGTAACCAATGACCCTCTTTTCCTCTCAAAGCATAGTTATATAGAAATCGTGAAGTGCTAGGGTACACATAAGTGGGGTTGAACAGTTTCATAACAATAAACAGATGTAAAGCCACCCCTCAGGGGAAGTTCTTTTAGATTAACTCAGGGACAAAATCTCATTTGGGGATTCAGCAGTCTAGATTACTAGGAGATCCACTCACGGGTAGGATTCTATCTAAGGATGTATTGCTTTAGCACAGCGGTAGGGCGTTTGCCTTGCATGCAGCCAACATGGCCGACCCGAGTTCGATTCCTCCGCCCCTCTCGGAGAGCCCGGCAAGCTACCTAGAGTATCTCGCCCGCACGGCAAAGCCTGGCAAGCTACCCGTGATGTATTCGATATGCCAAACACAGTAACAACAAAGTCTCCAATGGAGACGTTACTGGGCCCGCTCGAGCAAAATCGATGAATAACGGGAGGGCCTTTACCTTTACTCCATTTAAGCAATTATATTAAATTAACTTCTTACTAATATTTCTAGTCATTTTGTATGAGTACAATAAGAGCTATTTAAGCTTAACGGTTGGCTCTTCCTGGGGACATCTCACTCTCTATCCTAGACTACCGCCAGCTTAGTTTTTTCTAACCCCAGCAGGTCCTTATTCAGTTACTTCTTTGAGGGTCATGATAGAATTTGTTCCATAACTGTATTCTTAACTTTTTATACTTCTTACAGTGTTTAGCTTGTCCTTTTTCGATGCAAGGGTAGCTTACTATTTTTCCTGGAATCCAACTTTGTTCCTCACCGGGATCCTCCTTTTGGGGGTGTTAGGACGTAAGGACAACTGAGGCTTAAGTCACGAAAATATGATGGATGCCCAGGAGTAAATACTATTCATCAATTAACTCACATGTTACAAAAGCATAGCATCAACTGTATTCCTGTGTCTATACAAAGAGGAGAATGCTAAAACATGCAAAGGACATAGAGGAAAGAGAAAAGCAATATAGGATTAGAAGTGCCTGATGGAATTGGGTGTGCTTCGAGAGCACTGTGGTGGGAGTAACTCAATAAACCTAAGTTCCCTGTGGGATGAACAAGGACAAACCAATGTTTTTTTTTTTTTTTGTTTTTTTTTGTTTGTTTGTTTTTTTCCCCTTTATTTTATTTTATTTTTTTTAAAGTTGTAGGTTTACAATTTTTTGTGCTTTGGTTTCAATTATACAATGATCAGATACCCATCCCTCCACCAGTGCCCATTTTCCACCACCATGGATAATATCCCTCCCACCCCCATCCCCCCCATCCCCCCGTCTCTGTGGCAGGGCAATCCCCTGTGTTCTCTCTCTCCTTTTAAGGACAAACCAATGTTATGCAACACTTTACACCACTGGGAGGTGGACCCCCTTGCATGGCTGAGTGTGGTCCAACCCTACGCCGCCTCAAAAAAAAAATTCTGATTTTACTCTTGAAGGATGGTTCCGTTTGGATCAACCTTTCATTATATCAACCTACATCAGACAACATAACAGCATATAAACCTGAGTGAGACTCTCAAAGTTGAAGTCCCAAGACTTGAGATGAACAAGAAAATCGGTCCCTGTGAAATAGGTCGTCACGACCAGATTGTGAGGATACGAACATAACTATGTTCAAAACATTTTATCTAAATGGTGCAATTATGTTGAACTAATTCAGAACTGTTTCTCCTAGTCTTCCTGTATGAGGCTGCACCCCATGAGGCAGTTTTCAATAAGAGCACGATTCCCATCAGATGCTACAGGGAAAATGGTAAGTAGGCCGTGTGTTTGATGTCAGAACAGAGTAAGAGACCTTTTCTACAGTGGCTGGCTTGATTTCATTCCACATCCACCCTGGAATGGAATTTAGCCCCCATATCCACTTGTGTCTGTAATATATGACATACATAAGCTCCTATCTGATTTGAGCGGGATCATCATATGACTATATTGGGCTATATCCCAATGACTAGAGCCAAAGATTCCTGGATATGATGTGAAGATGCCATCCAGAGCCATCTGCATTAGAAGGAACAGGGCATTCAATGAAATGTATGAGCAGAGCCAAGGAAAGCAGAGAAGGGAAGCTAATAAGTTTTCAAGTCTTGTTTGTCATTTACTGTGGAGAAACAGGACAATCCCATGTTCACCCTGATCATTGTCCTCCCAATGTAAGGCGGTCCTCCCTCCCATCTAAACTAAATAGGATGCACAGTAGATTCTGCTGGCGCTAAATGTAAAACCAATACACCCCCGACACCCCAAATTCTACTGCCAAGTAGATATGAGCAATAAGGCTTCTACAACCCAAAATGATTATAATCTGAGCCTTGTTCCATCTTTATATAGTTAACTGCTCTTTATATAGGTCTGTTTTTTAAGACAGTTAGAGACTCCTAATGTAGATTATTTTTAAAAATAAGGAACCAAAGGGAGACTATAGCAGATAAGATGCTTGCCTTGTACATGGCGTGACCTGGGTTCAGTCCCTGACACCCTCCAATCATCCCCTGAGCCCAACAGAAGTAATTCCTGAGTGCAGAGCCAGGAGTAAGCTCTGAGTACTGGCATGTATGGCCAAAAACAAAAAACAAAAACAAACAAAAAATAGCAGAGGCTTAACGTTAACGTTAGCAAACTTTAGATCCAAGGATTGAGGAGACTCTAAGAGAAACAGAGGAAAAATGGTGGCCAGAGATATTTGAGAACTGAGAAGCTGGTATTTCTAAGAATCTGCTAAAGTGGGCTTTATCCTGCTATCCAAGAGTAAGATTCTGCCAGTCAGACCCAAAGTAACCAGTATTTCTTTATGCTAGTCATGATGCAGTGGTAAAACTGTATAGAGAGCTGGAAAATACACCCACTAATATCTAATCTTAGAAGAACCACTTTCCTTCTGTAAACTGAATTTCCACATCAGTAAAATGGAGGTATATACACTAACTAGATCAGTACTCTGGAGTCCAAGATTTTATAAGAACTCTCAAAAGCTTATTCCTCTACTCCCTAGTTTCAGAAATAATCTGTTACAAGTTAGATATTTTCACTTTTAGAAGATTACTAGATGCCAGTTTATAAACATAATCTTGGTTTTAAGTGGTCACTCAAATAAAATAGATGTTTATAGTATAGAAAAATTCTGTCAACATGAAAACCACAAACTATTTAAATATTTTATGCTATTATCCATAAAAATACCTCTGCAAACCAGTTCCAAAAGCACTAGATCATCTTAAAGATCCCTTGCATTCATTACTTCATTAATCATTTAAGCATATCTGATTGATTGTAGTAGTAAACATTTTTAAAGCATTTTAAGCATTTTTTTTATCCATAAGAGTGTGATTTCCCCAAACTAAGGAAAGAGAAGTAGGGCTCTTGATTTGCTGATACTGACTTATATACACAAAAAGAATGTACTAGAAGAATCAGGTAACTTGAAGTCTTGATGAGAGCGTTCGAGGAATACTGTTCATTTTCAAGGAAGACTCTGTGTAGGAGACCCAGATCAATGGATATTAATGGTCAATATTACTAGTTAAGCTCTGGTCTCCTTGCTCCACTAACTGCAACTGAAGGTGTTGGGTGCAAATGTGAAATTGATAGGATTTGTCATTTGTATCAGAGTTCTTGGTGTCTCCTGGAAAGTGGGGGAGTAAAAGTCTGCTTTTATGGCTTTAGTTATAAGACTTAATTAAGAACTCTTGCTGGAGCTATAGCACAGCAGTAGGGCGTTTGCCTTGCAAGTGACCAACATGGACCACCCGAGTTCGATTCCTCCGCCCCTCTCGGAGAGCCCAGCAAGCTACCGAGAGTATCTCATCCACACGGCAAAGCCTGGCAAGCTACCCGTGACATATTCAATATGCCAAACACAGTAACAACAAAATGGAGACTTTACTGGACCCGCTCGAGCAAATCGATGAACAAGGGGAGGACAGGACAAACAGTGCCTATACACAACATTGACGTAGTATTTCTTCAGGCATGGGAAGGAGTTCGTATTTCAGGCATATACATTCCTTCAAAATATGCATTCCTACCAGAAATATTCCCATATCTGAAGTTCTCAATTGTTAAAGTCAACTCATCTCAAAATCATTTTTCCCCATTTCTTCCATTTTATAAATGAGGCTCAGAAGCCTTAGAGAACTTGTCCAAGGGTATAACCACTAAATAGAAAAGCTGAAATTAAATTTCTGGCTATTCTGTTCTTTCTACTAATTATTATGGAAATTAAAAACTGAAAGGTAGGAATATCAATAACTAATAAGAATCACTAATTCTTTGGTAGATATCAGCCTGCTTTGGCAGTTCGAACTCATGGCCAATCTCAGTTCATCTATACCTGAACTCTAGACTTTCCATCTATAGACTGACTTTTCAAATCTATAGGATGGGGACAAAACATTCACAATATCTCCCTCCATACACACACACACACTAGAAATGAATAAAGAAATTCCAGGTATTTCTTTATTCTATGCATTTATTTCTTTATTCCTGTATTTTAACTGAAGATATTTTTGTCAAGACTCATAAAATGCATAATTAGAATACCATATCATACTAAACAAACTAATAATAACTCCCTAAAGACAGTTGAATAGTCAACCAGTGCTTAAATTTATCACAAACGCTTAATAGTTTTGGTTGTTTATTTGAATCAAGATTCAAATAAGACCTATCTGGGGCTGGAGAGATACCACAGTGGGTAGGGCGTTTGCCTTGCATGTGGCCAACCTGGGTTTAATCCCCAACATCCCATATGGTCCCCCCAGCACTGCCAGGAGTGATTCCTGAGTGTGCAACCAGGGGTAACCCCTGAGCATCGCTGGGTATGACCCAAAAAGAAAAGAAGGGGAAAAAAACCTATCCTCTAAAACTGGTAAGTAGGAACGTGGGTCATTGCATTTATTTGTTGCAAAGTCAAGCCCTAGAGTTTTCCACTTTATCCAGAGAACTCTAACTCAGAGAAACCGGAACATAATCCTACTCTATCCTTCTCAGGGGCTGGAGCAATAGCACAGTGGGTAGGGCATTTGCTTTACACGCAGCCGACCAGGGTTTGATTCCTCCGCCCCTCTCTGACAGCCAGGCAAGCTACCGAGAGTATCCCGCCCATACGGCAAAGCCTGGCAAGCTACCTGTGGTGTATTTGATACGCCACAAACAGTAACAACAAGTCTCACAATGGAGACGTTACTGGTGCCGCTCCAGCAAATCAACGAACAATGGTGCTGCAGTGCTACAGTGCTGCTGATCCTTCTCAGGGCATCTTATAATTACCCTATGTTCTATTTGTGGTAGGTGCTTTTTAGTCATAAAGTGATTTTCTTATGCCTTAACTCCATAGCCTCTCACAGATGCTGCGTAGTTTTCACACAATGATACTTCCTTTTCCTTTCTTGCACTCTTGGCTCCTTTCAGGAAACTTCAGAAGATAAACAATATCCTCAGAAATGTCAAGACCCTCTCTTGTCACACCTGCAGCCCCTGTCCCCTAGCCGGGCACATATGGAGCTGAAGCGCTACTACAGCATCTGCCAGGATACAGCCCTGAGAAGACCAGGCTTCCAAGATGACGAAGGAGAATCGAAAAGGCCGGGAAGGACTCGAAATTCCCTCAGCCCCAACTTGGCACCCAAGCTCAGCTTAGAGGTTCGGAAGCTGAGTAATGGCAGGTTGTCAACATCCCTGAAGCTGGGTCCACTGCAACCTCGGTCAGTGCCACTTCGGGAGAAGAAGGCAACCCAGATGCTGGTCATTGTGCTTGGTGAGCTTGGGTAGGGTTAGATGGGTTGGGCTAGGTAAGTTGAGTCCTGTGGCATTGATTGTCACTGCCACCCTGCCATGGATGACCACATTTGACATAAATTGAAAAACCATTGACTGTAATAATAATAAATGTTTAGAATACAATCAAAAACAATTTATGTATAAACAGTAACTCCACTGAAAAAGACCTAGACTGAGATTTAGGAATTTCACCTAATTGAATTATGCTTATGATTTTCTGACCTATAATATAAAGTTATAATGGATAAATCAAATAACAAAGCAAGACTATGATTCCATAAGAGTTTCAGCCACTACTAGGATATTCAATAAAGGGTTACTTATTTTTCAGATGTTAAGTTAAAAATATAAGTATGCAAAAAATTAGTCGTATGGCATAATAACATCTAGATTACATTAAATACAGAAGGAAAAGACCTAAAATTTCACCAAGATGTCAAACGTTTTAATTTTGGGTTTGGGTTTTTATTTAAGGGTGTCTTTTTCTGCTTTTTTGTTGTAGCACCTCCAGAAGTATTCAGGGAACCATATAGGGTGCCAGCAATCAAACCCAGGTCAGCTGTGTGCAAGGAAAGCACCTTATCCACTGTATTATCTCTGTAGCCCCAAAGTAAAGGACTTTTAATTGTAGGTAGTAATTTTCCCTCTTTATATCTTTCTGTATGTAAATGCTCCATGATATATAAATCATCGCTGATTTTTGTAGTATGTACATGATTTGTGGAGAGGTGCTGCAACCAACTTTTTAAAGTAAATAAAATGAGGCTGGCAAGATAGTAGAGCAGACATCCTGCTTTTCTTGCATACGGCCAGCCTGAGTTCAATCCCCAGCACCCTAGACAGTCCCCTGAGCACTACCAGGAGTGATCCCTGAATGCAGAGCCAGGAGTGATCCTTAAGCACTGCTAGGCCTCTAAATAGGCTAAGCCACAGACGCCAAGTAGTTAATGAAGCTGATTAATTCTGTTGAAATAACGCCCAAACTTCTCATACCTTAGGTGGTTCCTAGAACCCCTGAAGTAATCTCAACAGCAGTAATTGTATCAATCAAATTTCTAAGTCTTTTTCCCCATCAGCACCTAGGATTTTATTGTACTTGAACAGACATTAAATATATATCTGCATCAGGCAGTAGAAAAGTCTAGCAAAGGACTAACAAAAGATCACATTAGAAAGCTGATTTAAGAACAAAGGTCTGATAAAAATCAAAAATGTCACCATGTTATTTTCTCATTAAAAAACTCAGCTACATGGTGGCTTATCATAGAGTGGGTAAAACTACAAGCGTAAACTTCCAGTTTAGTGACAGGTAGAAGCCATACAACTGTGAATCATTTTTATTTGTAACATGTAATTTCATGCAATCAAAGAATTAAGCAAACCCCTTACTTAGTGTTTCTCTTCCTTTGGAATCTAGGTACCTTCATTGTCTGCTGGCTACCCTTCTTCTTGACCCATGTTCTCAACACCCACTGCCAAGCCTGTCATGTGTCCCCAGAACTTTATAGCGCCACGACATGGCTGGGCTACGTGAACAGCGCCCTCAACCCTGTGATCTACACGACTTTCAACGTTGAGTTCCGCAAAGCCTTTCTCAAGATCCTGTCTTGCTGAAGGAGGAAGAAAAGGAACACTCTCTGGCCCACCGCTAAACACCAGGCTCTTGGACTGTTGGCCAGAGCATGCTCAGAAAAACACCGTGTGATGTCCTAAGACAGATATGTGGTAGGAAGGTCCCTGGAGCTTAGATCTCTACATAGTGGTTGTAACCCAACTGCTTCCTCCAAAACAGAATGTTCTATCCCTAGCTAAAACCTGACTTCATTCTGCCAATCTTCAAGTGTAAATGATAAGCAATAATTCAGACAAAAGCTGGTAAATGACTCTATACTAAAAATTATCATCAGAAGTATGAGTCATGGCAATGAAGGACAAATGAACAGATCTCAAAATTCTCAACTTGCCAGGGGTCCAGGAAACCATGTTGATGAATAAGCAGTCTCTCTCTCTCTCTCTCTCTCTCTCTCTCTCTCTCTCTCTCTCTCCATTCTCGCTCTCCTCACCTCTAATTAACAGTCAGCCTAATTTTGCATATTTGTCTGTCCACTCTCTTTTGTTCATTCCTTTCTTCTTCATTGTATTCTAAATATAATGCCAAGGCCACTGCTTCTACCTCCTCACAGAATCTGAATTTGGTGAAGGAAATTCTTCACCCCCAAGGAGACACTGTCCCACATTGGGACCTAAGATTCATTTCCGAAAACCTTACTATCCCTGCCTTTTAACTTTTGCTTAACAAGTCCTTTGAGCTCATCCCTTTATTCTGAGAGACTGAGGGTGTCCACTGAAGTTGTCTCCAAGAGTATTAAAGTGTCAGCTCCAGAGTAATTCAAGATGGGAACGTTAAATGAAAAAGGAAAGACTGCAGTCCCACTGTTGAAACTTGTGATTCAGAATATGCCTTAGATGTGTTTTCCATCAGATTTTCCTGCCTAAACCATATCCAGCTACTGCTTAAGAGAAACGCAATATTTTCAGACTCTGAAATGCATCCATTAGTATCTCCAAAGCTCCAGTAAATTCCTATATGCTGGATATAAACCATGACTAAAACAATCCTTGCCTCAAGGAGTTTTCCACCTCTTTTTTGCCCATTTACTTGTGGAAGACTAGTTAGAACTCACCTAGATTGCCAGAAGACCCCAGAACTTAGGGCACCAAGAAGAAACGCTCTCCAAAGTCATCACATGGAATGTATTTGTAAAATCCCAGTACAGCTCTTCAAAATCAATCAACTGAAATTAAAGGCACAACAAATTATTTGTAAGCGCTATTCAAATACTTTATTTATAAGAAACATAGATATTCTCACAATCTAACTTTCTACCTACAAAAGCTATCCATTATTGATAACAAAGTCAAGAGATAATTTATGGATAATTTATCAGTTGTTGTCATTGTGAACGTCAATAAATTTAAAGATAAGAACTACTAGTGCATAGATAGATACTTGCTGCGATGCTGTCAAACTTCACAGAACTTTATAAGGAATCAAAGACTTCCTTTATCTCATCTTTAGTCCTCTCATCTTACTGTGTAAATGAAGGAAATAGAAAATAAAAATAAAGATAAAAATACATTTAAAAAGAAGAAAACCTATGCTCCTAGTAAATCAGTTACTTGTTGCTTCTGAGTGCTTTTAGGGCCAGAATTTTATCAATGTTATCTATCATAATGTTTTTTATCAATAAGGAAACCTGCCAGCATACTAATAGTCCAGGAAGTTCTTATACCTCGGCAATTAGCTCAGTGGGTTTAGAGGGCAAGAAGCACTTGGTACTGATCTAATTAAGTATCTGATGAAGTGAAAACAAACGTATGAGTCTACTTGGTTACACAAGGCAGGGGGAGGGAGGTTATGCAAACAAAATAGCAAACAAATGAGAGTGTAAAAAGTTAAAGAATCAACCCCGAAATTTTACATATGAAAATATAAAACATCAGTAATAATATATTTGTGAGGACTTATGGCAAATGTTTGTATCTTTTCTTTATCTTAAGTCATTTGACCCTTGGGATAACCTTAAGAACACTGAGCAGCCTCATAGAGAGGCCTAATAAGGTTAAGGAAGTTTGTCTAGGCTGGAACACACATCAGTGTTGGAAGTGTCAGAGCTGGAGTCAAGAGTGCCTAGTTGTTTCTGACTCCCAAATCCAGTCAATGGAGTGTCATAGCACACTGCCTCCCACCAGAGGTGTAAAGGGAGAGGAGAGGAAAATAGGGGACAAAAAGAAGGCAATGCCACCCTGGCCACCTCCAGACTGAGATTAATCTAAGTACCCAATGCAAGGCATTACTCTCACTCTGCAGCTGTGCTTAGTTTCCAAGACAATCAGGTGGGAAATGTAACATCTATTTTTATAGAATACATCAAACAGGAGAAAGTGATAGTACAGCAAGTAGGACACTTGCCTTGCCCTCAGTCAATCCAAGTTGGATCCCTGGCACCATATATGATTCCCTGAACCCTGCCAAGAGTGATCCCTGAGCACTCAACCAAAAGTAAGCCCTGAGAAATGTTGTGGGTGGAGCAATCTCTCTGTTCCCATGCCTTGCATCCCCGCCACCTCGACACACACAAAAGAATCCATAAAACAGTCCTTAGGGAATACTGTTTCTATCCTTCCCTTCATTTACAGAAATGGAAACAAAGGCCCAGAACTGTTGTCCTATCACTGTTTGATGGTAGAGAAGCATTCAGAGCTTTAAATCTTATTTCAGTGTACTTTCTACCTTAATCACACCTCCCAAGAGTCCTACTAAAAATGCTAACCTCCATATATATATATACAAGGAGAAAGTCATAGTGTCACATACAACAATGAATGGAGTTAACTCTTCCCCTAGACAGCATCTGGTGACCTTTTTAAATTTTATTTATTTATTTTGCTTTTTTGGGTCACACTCAGTGATGTTCAGCGTGTTACTCCTGGCTCATGCACTCTGGAATTACTCCTGGCGGTGCTTGGGGGACCATATGGGATGCTGGGAATCGAACCCAAGTCAGCCACATGCAAGGCAAATGTCCCACCAGCTGCGCTATCACTCCAGCCCCCACATCTGGTGTCCTTATTCTCAAATAATATCTCTTTCCTAGAATTTTCTTCTGACCCATAGTCTCTTAGGAGAGTTTCAAGGACATTCTGTGGGCACTCTCTTTAATGACTTGATTTCATGATTTTTTCATTCTTCTTTCATACCTCTAAAGTTCCTGCCATGAAGCAGCACATTTAGTGCGTACAGTTTTCACAGTCAGCCGGACTAAACTTCTCAAGAGACATATTGACCTGAATGAAGCTGACCATAGTTTGGGGGAAAAAACGGTTCTGAAAATTTTTCAAGAGTCCCTTATTAATGTTCATGCTAGTTGAGTGGGGTATAAAAAAGCATTGAAATCCAAATAGATTATATTAAACTCCAGACTTGACATAAAGACTTCCTATTCCCAAGATGGACCATCCGAAACTACATTCACTATATTCATTGACTGCACCAATCATTTCTTATGTTAGTATTAATTGATAATATACTGTGTCGTGGGCTGGAGCGACAGCACAGTGGGTAGGGCATTTGCCTTGCAAGCGGCCAATATGGCCAACCCGAGTTCGATTCCTCCGCCCCTCTCGGAGAGCCCAGCAAGCTACCGAGAGTATCTCGCCCACATGGCAAAGCCTGGCAATCTACCCGTGACGTATTCGATATGCCAAACACAGTAACTAGTGTCACAATGCAGATGTAACTGGGCCCGTTCGAGCAAATCGATGAACACCGGGAGGACAGTGACAGTGACTCTGTGTCATAGATATGATATCTAGCATTGGGACATATGATTGAAGACATGGTCCCTGTACACAGAAGCACAGGGCTGTATGGGAAGTTAGAATTTATATGCATGGTGCTGACCTGTCTGATGACTATAGTAAAGGAAATTGATGGTGTTCAGAAGTACCATATTCGAAGTCGTGTTTATGCCAAGAATAGTACAGTGGTGTGGAACACATGCTTTGCATGCAAGAGGCCAAGTTGAATTCCCAGAACCTCATGGTCCCCTAAATCCCACCAAGCAAGGAGCTGAGCAAGGCTGGGTATGGCCCAAAAACAAATGAAAAAAAGAAGTCATCCCAGGTAAGTATTGTCAATATTGGCACATAAAATAAAATATAAAAAACAAAGGGTGTTAAGACAAAGAAAGACTTAAGCAAGCTAAGAGCAAGCAAGAATCACTCAGGAAGTAACAAATCCTCCCATCATGCTGTAGAGAAAAGACTTAAGGAAAAGAAAGAGGCTCATCTTGGAGTCTGTGTGTAACACTTCTCACACAAAACCTCTAGACCTTGCCTCCACTTCCCTCCATGTAGAAAACACGGAGCATAGAATATCCACCACAGACTTACTTAATTACTCCTCTGAGCTTTCCATGAATTGCAGAAAACACAGAATTCAATTGTAAACTTTTCTGTTCTTCTCACCAAGAGAGAGAAGTGCTGACTGAATACAGAATCAGAGATGGTTAAAATTCAGGCAGTGAATTTGGGTCAGAAACTGAGGGAGGTCAGACAGAGATTTGCTTTCCACATTGCTTGGGTCAGAATTAAACAAAGAGGTAGACAGGTTAAAGGATCCACGGGGAACTGGCTATTTCCTGAAGGTTCTGACTCTCGGGCCTGTGCTCCCTCCTGTCGTTTGGTATCTGCTGACATCAGAAAAGTGAAAAAGCTTAATTTGAATCAACACACAGAGAGCAGAGAGGGGATGACAGGTAATTAACTTGATTCCCTCCTTTATACCTAATTCTCCCCTCATCAGCTTACAAAGGGAGTGAGTTTCCATGACTACGTCCTGACATGGAGACAGAGTGGAGGGTGATGCCCGTGTCAGATCGGCTCTGGAGCACACACTGGCGGAGGCAGAAGCAGGAGTCTTGCCGAGCCCCAGACCCAGGACCTTTTGCTCCACCTATTTTCACCTCAATTCATCATCCAGTTCCCATTTCTGTGCACCAAATCTGTGCTTTCGCAGTCCACTGGTCCTGGGAGACAGGAGAGATGATCACAGAGCCTTGAAAGATAGCTGCACCTCACAAAGGGGTCTGGATTCAACCCAGAGTGATTCTGATGAGCCCTGGGAGAGACAATGGGCCCAAATGAGTCAAGGGCTAGAGCTCGAGCATTCGTCCAAACAAGGTGTTAACTTCTAAGGGTCTCAGTTGCCTCATTATTAAAACAGGGGCCTTAAAGGCCT